GGTTTCACCATGTTGACCAGGATGGTCTCGATCTCTTGACCTCGTGATCCACCCACCTCAGCCTCCCAAAGTGCTGGGATTACAGGCTTGAGCCACCGCGCCCGGCCTAATTTTTTGTTTTTAATAGAGATGGGATTTCACCATGTTGGTCAGGCTAGCCTCAAACTCCTAATCTCAAATGATCTGCCTGCCCTGGCCTCCCAAAGTTCTGGGATTACAGTTGTGAGCCACCACACCCAGCCTGCTGCTTGCTCTTTCATCATTATTTCAAGATGTAGTCCATTCATTTTTATTGCTGTCAAGTATTCTATCCCTAAACACACGTCAATTTATTTATTTATTCCCCTGCCCATGGACATTTGCATTGTTGCCGTTTTTAAAAATATTAACAAATAATCCTGCAGTAAACTTTGTTGTGCCATTGTCCATATGCAAATGTAAAGGATATAAACCAAAAATAAAACTCTAAGCTTGCTAACCATCTGAATGGACTCCTCCTCTCAGCCAAGGCCATTCCAAAGTTAACCTGAAAAACAAGCTCAAGCAAGGATGGGAAGCGGGAGTCAGACAGGCCTCATTATACCTTTCCCTGCTGGAATTCAGACCCAGCTGACAAGTATTGGTATCAACACAGACCTTAAGACTGATAGAACAGACTCCTTTTTTTAAAAAAATTATTTTATTTTTAAATTTATTTACTTTACTTTAGGTGCATGCTATATCTGGTATGTCTCCCATATTATCCCTCCCCACCCTCACCTCCCTCCCCACCCCCCATTTTCTCTCCCCTACCCACCCCCAACCGTCCCCTGTGTGTGATGCTCCTCTCCTTGAGTCCATGTGTTCTCGTTGTTCAACACCTACCTATGAGTGAGAACATGCGGTGCTTGGCTTTCTGTTCTTGGGTTAGTTTGCTGAGAATGATGGTTTCCAGATTCATCCAAGTCACTATGAAGGACACAAACTCATCGTTTTTTGTGGCTGCGTAGTATTCCATGGTGTATATGTACCGCATATTCTTTGTCCAGTCTATCATTGATGGGCATTTGGGTTGGTTCCAGGTCTTTGCTACTGTACACAGGGCTGCAATGAACATATGTGTGCATGTGTCTTTATAGTAGAGTGATTTATAGTTCTTTGAGTATATACCCAATAGTGGGATTGCTGGGTCAAATGGAATTTCTATTTCTAGATCCTTGAGAAATCTCCACACTGTCTTCCACAATGGTTGAACTAATTTATACTCCCACCAACTGTGTAAGGGTGTTCCTATTTCTCCACATCCTCTTCAGCATCTGTTGTCTCCTGATTTTTTAATGATCGCCATTCTAACTGGTGTGAGATGATATCTCAGTGTGGTTTTGATTTGCATTTCTCTAATAACCAGTGATGATGAGCATTTTTTCATATGTTTGTTGGCCTCGTATATGTCCTCTTTTGAAAAGTGTCTGTTCATATCATTCGCCCACTTTTGAATGGGGTTGTTTGTTTTTTTCTTGTATATCTGTTTTAGTTCTTTGTAGATTCTGGATATTAGCCCTTTGTCAGATGGGTAGATTGCAAAAATTTTTCCCATCCTGTTGGTTGCCGATTCACTCTAATAATGGTTTTTTTTACTGTGCAGAAGCTCTGGAATTTAATTAGATCCCATTTGTCTGTCCTGGCTTTTGTTGCCAATGCTTTTGGTGTTTTAGTCATGAAGTCCTTGCCTGTGCCTATGTCCTGGATGGTTTTGCCTACGTTTTCTTCTAGTGCTTTATGGTGTTAGGTTTGATGTTTAAATCTTTGATCCATCTGGAGTTCATTTTAGTGTAAGGTGACAGGTAGGGGCCCAGTTTCTGCTTTCTGCACATTGCCAGCCAGTTTTCCCAACACCATTTTCTTCAGTAGTTTAAAATCTTAAAGTCATGTTATATTAAATTAATCCTCTTTTTTTCTAATTGGGAATTTGGGCTACTAAGAGTTTTTGTGTTAAATTAATCCTCTTTTTTCTCATTGGGAATTTGGGTTACTAAGAGTTAAAATCATAGAAAAATAAAGTGTGTTTTGGGTGAAGTTCATAAACACACAGGATGTAGTTTTTGTTAAAGAAAGTGGTATTTTTTTTTTTTTTAGTTTAGAGGCTATTTATTTAAGTAAAGGGAAAATTATACACATAAAACTAAATGAATAAGGAGAAATTTTTATTTTGTTTATTTTTTTCTTTTGCCGCTGTACCAGTGCATGGAGAAAATTTTAAAGGTGAGATATGAGAACCTTTGACTCTTGGGTGGCCACATGGTAAACCCATCTTAAGGAGCTGCAGGTGGGCTGCATTCAATTACTAAAAGTAAAAGTTGCTTTGCAATTTAGAGATTGATAATACTTCGACTCCCAAGGATTTAGTTTGCCGGATGCATAAGAAAATGCAGACTAATAAGGAAAAAACAAAATATTCAACTGGTTATTTTTATCTGTAATAGCCAAAATGAAAGTAAAAGAGTGCTGAATTGGGCCTCAAGGCTGGACCAAGCTCAGATGTGGGTCTGTCTCAGGTCAGGCCACTAGAGCCTCTTAGCTACCCACAAAAGTTAAGATTAAGCCAGGGCAACAAAAGTTACCTCTGAGACCTGTAGTTATTATACCAAGATGATAGGATGAGGGAAGGGCAAAACCAAGTAACTATTAAAATTGGAGGGTATAATGTAAAAGAATCGTTCCACTTTGTATACTGGTATCATCAGCCTCCTGAGAAACCTTTATTGTAATGGATTATAAAAATAACTGCTTTAAGGACCATGTCTATAATTTTAAATGCTACAGAATGAAAGAGCATGTTTGGGTTGATGCAGGACCCACAGCTCACTATTGAACGATCTCTGATGAGTACATGTGATTCAGACACACAGGAGGTTATTCCTGAGAGAATGACCAGCCTAGTAGACTGGATAAATGCCACTGTAAAGTCTGTTTACCCTGAGAAGTGGACTTCCCAACTTTCCCTATAAAATGCCAAGTGGAGCATGCCAGATAAAGTAGCTGGTATGCTTCATATGCAAACCATGCAGGCCTGGCTTTATGATAACCAGGATATTCTCCCAGTGAATATGCCTTACCCAGGTCATGGTAAATTCTGTGGTTAAGGGAGCCCCCTTCTATATGGGAACCCCAGGTGACATTAGTCCTGCACAATCAAACAACTGACTGAGAAGCCTTGTCAAATTTGCTGTCCCTCATGGGTCTTACACGTGCTAATAAAACAGAGTAATTAACAACAAAAAAAAATGGGAAAGGCAAAAGAGAGTCAAAAGACTAGTTCCAGAAGGGTGGAAATCTTCAGATGGTCATTAAGAAATGAAATAAAATGAAAATTGATGGGGGTTAAAACAAAGGTCTTTACAACGCATATCAAAGCTTGGGTGGACCAAAGGGAGCCACTCTGGTCTCCCAATGTTACTGGAAAGGGGTCTGGATCCAGATCCCAAGAGAGGGGGTTCTTGGATCTCACGCAAGAAAGAAGTCAAGGCGAGTCCATGGTACAAAGTGAAAGCAAGTGAAGGAATAAAGAATGGCTACTCCATAGATGGAGCAGATCTGAGGGCTGTTGGTTGCCCATTTTATGGTTATTTCTTGATGATATGCTGCTACACAAGGTGGATTATTCATGCCTCCCTCTTTTAGACCATATAGGGTAACTTCCTGACTTTGCCTTGGCTTTGTTAACTGTTATGGTGCTGGTGGGAGTGTAGCAGTGAGGATGACTTGGTGTCTCTCTTTTTGTCATCTTCATTTTGGTGGATTTTAACCAGCTTCTTTACTGCAACCTGTTTTATCAGCAAGGTCTTTATGACCTGTGTCTTGTGCTGACCTATCTCATCCTGTGACTAAGAATGCCTTCACATCCTAAGAATGCAGCCAAGCACGTCTCAGCCTTATTTTACCCTGCCCCCATTTAAGATGGAGTAGCTCTGGTTCAAATGCTGATGATGCCAACATTAAAGGGGCCCACACTAGTTTTCTGCATTTGCCCCAGACTGAGGAGATTAAAGAAAAATCAAAAGGCAAAGGTTATAATGAGAAAGCTGACAGTGCCTGGGGCAATACTGACATAAATTAAGACAAAACGTTGACGAAAGGATCTGAGTCCCTTGGCTCAACTCCCTGCTGGGAACCCAAATCTTTTTTCACCAGAAAAGGTAAAATGGTCTGAGGGTGGAGAAGAAAAGTCCCTGGGACCAGAACATAAGAATGTAAAGATTGGCCGGGCGCGGTGGCTCAAGCCTGTAATCCCAGCACTTTGGGAAGCCGAGGCGGGTGGATCACGAGGTCAAGAGATCGAGACCATCCTCGTCAACATGGTGAAACCCCGTCTCTACTAAAAATACAAAACATTAGCTGGGCATGGTGGCGCGTGCCTGTAATCCCAGCTACT